GCACACTGCACATATCTTGTTTTGAAGTAAAAAAAAACAAATGTCCTCGGCGGGCCACGTGTGGCCCGTGGGCCGCAGTTTGAGGACGCCTGCTCTAAGGCAGCAGCTCTCGACCTGTGGGGGTTGCCCGATTCATAACAGTAGCAAAATGACAGTGATGAAGTAGCAATGAAAATAACTTTATGGCTGGGGAGGTCACCACAACGTGAGGAACTGTATGAAAGGGTCGTGGCATTAGGGAGGTTGGGAAGCACTGTGCTAAGGTCTGCAGCAGCCCAGGACAATACACCATCTGATGTTCTGATTCTGCTGCCATGGTCATCGACTGCAGACTTGAGTTAGCCGAAAGCCTTGGCAGCCCGGTCTTTCCAATGCCGGCCATGATGTTCTCTACTGTCCAGTCAAGCGGGTTTTGTTTTCTTGATGCTGAAGCCTGTGGTCTCTGATCTTCCTCAGTAAGTGCTTCAAGTCTGCTTTGCTCTCAGCAAGGCAGCAGTAGCTATAGAGGCACAGGTGGAGGGTGCCAGCAGGTGGGAGAGCAGGCTCTGCGCAGGCAGGCTGCCCCTTAGGCCCCTCACCCATGGCTTTCCAGGACAGTGAGTGCCATCAGCCCTCTGTGACATCACTCATAGGCTGCAGGCGGGTCCTCGTATTGGGACACCTAAGTCAGGAGGGGGAAACATGCTGAGTGAGAGCCATTGGACTGATTCTGATTCAAAGCGATCCAAGACCATAAGCCTATGGGAGCGGACTGCCTCATCTTTTTCCCTCAGAGCGGCTGGTAGGTTTGAACTGATGACCTTTCAGTTACAGCTCAAAGCCGAGGCTACAGCCCACTAGTGCTCCTTCGGAAAACAAAGTGAGCTCTGAACTGTCCAGCAGAAGGGCCTTCTGTCCGCCTGCCCTCGGCCCTTTGAGGAGGACGCTTGCTCCATTGGCAGGTGAGGGCGCGCGCGGCCAATGCCCCAGGCCTTTGACCTCCTCGGGGCCCAGGTGCCACATGACAGGGCACTCACTGAAAGGGGGAGTCGCTGACACCTCGTTCTGGCTGGTGACCCATGCCGGACAGAAAACACTACAACATGTGATGGAGGAGGCAGGCAGAGATCCGAAGCGAGGGCAGCCAGCAGCTCAGAGGAAGGCTGGGGCAGACCCCTCACAGAGAGCCCGCTGAGAGACTAGCCCTGCCAGTCACCAGAATTGAGCAAGGTCTCCATCAGGCCCAGCCACCCCATGTGTCACCATTTGTTACACAGCTCAGGACACGAACAGAAGTGACAGGGACCAGAGGTGACAGGGGCTGGAGTTTACACGAGACCAGAGCCATCCTCAGAAGTCCTGCAGGTCATTGGCCTGGAGGCCATGATCACTTGGGAACACCTTCCCGCCCCCACCCCAAACCGGGCAGCCCTGTTCTCTGTGACCTTTGTCGGCGACAGTGACTGGGGTGAGGCCTGATAGCTCTCCTGGACGGCCAACATAATGAAAAGACAGATGCGGCCCCCGCCAGTAACAGAGGGGCCCGGTCACCCGAAGCCTGCCTGCTGGGTGGGGTCTTGGGAACGGTCAGCACCCCCAACCTTTTGGGGCCCCTGGCCCCCATTTATGAACCTGGTGGTTAACAGGGCAGAGGGCTGAGCTGTCCTCAAGTATCAGAAAAAAGATGAGACATCAAGGTCTCATTTTAATTCAACAAAATACAACCAATTTTATTGTATCATGGGAATCTTTCTTAAAGAAACGGGGGAGGGGGGCAGGTGGTCCAACAGTTGGTGGAAAAAAACGGAGCTCAAAGGCAGTGGTATTTCCCATGGACTTCTGGAAGTCCATTCGCACTTTTCAAAGAAACTGCGAAAACCCACCGTGGTCAAGTCAATTTTAACTTCGACTGACCCCGCAGGGCAGAGCACTGAGCCCACAGGGCAAATCAGAACCACCCCAGAGGGTTTCAGAAGCAGAGAGCCATCTTTCTGCAGAGCGCAGCCCAGTGCTGTAACTGCGGCCCTGCGGGGGCCCATTCAGAGGAGCCCCCCGTAAAATCAGGAGCACCTGGGTGGGGACACTGCACATTTATGAGCATTTCTGCGACACAAGCTTGGGTCGGCTCCCCGGCCAGTGACATGGATTTAGTGGGGAGGTGACGGCTGTAGTGGGTCACTGCGGAGTGGTCGGCACATGGGTGCACTGCTCTCCAGATCCATAGAGGCAACAGGCCTGGTCCCATGCAGGGGCCAATGGCTGCTAACTCCCACTGCCTGTGAGGCCCGGCGCCCAGGCTAACACCACAGCCAGCTGTTGGGGTCCTGATTCCAGCCCAGTGGCAGCAGCCACACACACAC